ATCAGCCACATTGGAATACCAATTAATGCGTACGCTATCGTCACAGCACGTCCGGCTAATGTATTTGGTATTGCATGACCATAACCAATCAATGCGAGCACGACTGTTGCGTAGTAGAACGATCCGATAAATTTCCATTGTTTCTTATGGAATTGTAAACGTAGTTGAACAGTATGAGTGAGATTTCGAAATTCTTGATCACTGATATTGTGTCTCTGTTGAAAAGAAAGAATTCGCGCTGTTAAATTCTCATGACGAAGAGATTCATCAGCTGATTCAAGGCGATCAAATATAGCTGCACCGATAACCAGATAAACAAGTGTTATGATAACATATGCTAATGTACGATAACTTTGTATTCGGCTGGGTGCTGTCGAACCGGGCGTTAGTAACATGAAAAGTAAATGAATGTAACCACAATAAAAAAAAACAGTTCTTGTTGCTGATATAAAGGAAAAATCGTCAAGACGTGAGTAGTAAGAACACAATAAAAATGTTCAGATTTGTTATCTGATTTAATAATCTAGAAGAGTAGAAATGTGCTATTCGAATATAAATAATAAATCATCCAACTGCGCAGTCGTTGGATCGCATTCTTCCACTTGTTAACTCTTATCTCGAACAGAATGGCGAATACATGTCAACTACGAGTTAATCCAGTTGGTCAATTAAATGCGAGAACATGAGACAGAAGCCTTCGACGATTAAACAACGTATAAACAAATCAATCAGTCAATGTTAAGCAAAAAAAGAAAAGATCTCATATTTCCACAATCTAATTGTTATGCATATATGTGAGACATGTTGATGCATAATTCGATGTTACTACAAATAGATGCAACAAAAGGAGAAAAAAACGGAAGTGTTCGGAATAACTGATTTCTAACTCGGTTGATTCTGTGCGAAGTCGAGTGTAGGAGATAGCATATCAATGAATGACTGAAAAGTCAACACAAGAGTGAAAAGATGAAAACGTGTTTTTCGATCGAAAATTCTTCTGATAATTGAATAAGACGAGTAAACAACCGTTCGTGATCTTTTCCTCGCGCTACATCCGAGTCCCTATATCCGTTATATAAATCATACTAGTATAACTCAATCAATACTTACAGCTAATTGAGAATCAAAGCGAACGTCAGACAGAGTGAACGACGATACCAAAGTGAAGGGGAAAAGCAATAAAAACTTCCATTATCATCAAGTACTCTTTTTTTCTCTAGGTGATGTCATTCGGTCTAAACAAGAGAAAAGGATTAACGAATAAAGCAAAAAATCAGAAGAATAGATAATAATTTGTTTAATAATTCATGCAATTATATTTAGAAGATCTTCTACTCAATTATTAGCTAGTCACAGATCCAGTTGTCTAATAAGAAAATGCCTTTTATTACTATGTTTTCTTCTTTTTTTTTCTTTGCTATATTCATCATCAAACACATAGGATCTTAGCCGAGAATGACAGGAGAAATCTTTCTTTTCCTTAGTTTTTCCTTTTCAAATGAACATGCAACAATAACAAAGATTAAAGAAAAAGCTGAGAAAAAGAAATATGACACGAAGAAAGTTTTCCAGTTTTTTTTCCACGGTTGGCTGCTGCTTTTCTTTCTTTTTGTTCTAATGGGCTTCCAAAAATTGCGTCAGATTTCTCCTTTGTTTGGTTGTATCAATGCAAATGTATCAATATGAACTGAATGGATGCCAATTAGCTCCGAACGTGCTTGTTTTATCTTACCAGACATGAGTACCATTATTCAACAAGTCCCTGTCACAAGGAAACATGTTGTTATGCAGATATATCATGATAAAAGCTGTCTTATTCTTTGATATTGACTAAACACGTTTGTCTTCTTTATATTCGTACTGAATAAAGCAAAAATATCACCGTTGTACCATTATCTCCATCTGTTACTCGACATTATTGAATACGAAGAGATTCCACTTATCATGACAAAAAAAATCGAGCACATTATTTACAGGAAATCGAATGTGATTAATTGGCTTTCGAGAGTGGCAAGATATTATCAGGTGAACACCGGAACAACATCATCAATGCAAATGGAACGACATGCACGGCATTCGAAATCAAGTAACTGTACAATTTAACTAATTCATATTGGCACGAGAAGATTTGGTACGAATGTTTGGAATTTTAAAGGAACAGAAAGCTCAAGGCGATGTAATTTAACAGTTCAATGATCTATGAGAATTGTCTTTCGTTCACAATCGATTATACGCAGTCAAAATCCAACTCACTCGATTCTATCAGAAATATAAGGTTTCCTTTCCGATATCTAAGTTATGGCCTTTGTATTCGTTGAAACAGACGAACAGACACTGATGAATTTTCTTTTGCGAAACAAAAATATAGACTGACAAAATGACAATAGATATTTACAAGAGACAGAAAAACGATCCGTTAGGATTAAACATCATCGTAATTGCTCCGAATGAGCGGACTTTTATGTATGAAGCCATTGATCAACGAATCAGATGGATCTTGTGTAATGATAAATCGATGAGTTTCGGAAGGTTGATGACGTTTCAAGTTTCGTAATGGTGTTGAATGTAATGACTAAATTAAAAGAAAGTTACGAGTCAATGAAATATGAATAGCAAAGGCAAAATCTGATATCCTACATCGAATCGATGGGGAGTAGTTTGAGAATAATGAGAATTAGTTGCGATAGGTTTATAAGTTGGTACTGGATTAGTACAACATGGTGACCACAGGCAAGAAATAACGGCACCAATCAATGATAAAAGTGCTTGTACAAGTGCTAATGTAAATGTTATAAGTAGTGCAAGATTAACAAACGTTGCGGGTTCATCGAATGGTACAAGAAGTTGTCTAGAAGAATTGCAAAGTCAATGAAACAAAAACATACAAGAATGGAGAGTAAATAAAAAGGAGAGAAAGTTTACATTGTAGGTATTGTCGTTGATGCCGTCGTTGTACGAAATGATTTCAATCGCGATGAAGAAATCATTTGCCAATATTCAAGTGTATGAATAATAAGAAGACCGATGTAGACTGATGATGAAATAAAACTTATCAGCGATGACATACAAATGAAAATCACCTTTGAAAAGAAAGCGGTGAAATGATATTTACAATCGACATATTTCATGTCGCTTTACCGTAAATGGGCGTTTAACTATGGCATAGATTACACAACAAAGGCATGGAATAATCGTCTAGAATGGAATATATGTGTGTGATTAAGCAAGAGAAAGATTCAGTTTAATCAAAAGAAAGTAGCCCTTTGATACGACATGTCATCAGTCTTGAAAAAGTACGAAGGACGTTCTTATGGCTAAGTTCTTCTTCGGTGTTCGCTGTCAACAATTCATACTTACAAAGAATGCTGATGGATAAATAAACCAAAGATGAATATCATTAATTGAATACGATGCCGGAAATAGATTGAGAAAATTTATATGCGTACCATTCTGTTTATTTCTTTCGATGACGTATCGTTGACCAATCGTTACTGCAATTTGTGTCAAGCCGGTTAAGAATAGAAATATACCATAGATAAGTAATGTTTCAGCTTGGGCGAAAATTTGATAAGTAGACTTTTGTGATGTCATTTGATGTCGGAATGAAGAAATGAAAGTACAGGAACTAAATGCAATCGTTGCCTGTTACGTCTTTACTCAGTCTTACTTAATGAACTTCTTTTTTTCTGCTGTCTATGTTCCTCTTTGTGCCTATACGATTCTTCTATGCATGAGTACATAAAAGAGAGAGAGAGAGAGAACTGGGCGTATTTGGTGTGCGTGAGTAAGAGAGAAGGAGAGAATAGTCATTTAGTATGAGGAGTAGCTGAACATGAACATTTGTAAGGAAGAAGAGAAGAAGAAGAAGAAATGAGATTGCTTTGTCAAGCAGTACGGGTAGCAAAACAGATTTCTTTTGTATCTTCGATCGAACTATAAAAACTAAGAAAAAACGGCGAAGGAGAAGAAAACGATGAATAACGCATGTTTTTTTTTCTTTCTCTCTTCCATTAACTATAATGTTCATCTCAAAGGAAAAAAAGGTGACAAGGACAATAGATATTACGCATCCTTTCTTTTTCAACCAGAATACAGTGACAGAAAACGAAAGAATAAGATATTTTTTGAGCGTTCACCTGACCTATACGCGATCATCGATCATGATTCGAAACGAACACGTACGTTGATGGCGATGACAGCGTTTGTTTAATGAACATTAGTCTTAATAGTTTTCACACATGTAGTAATCGACAAAAGAATCTCTTATTCATATTGCATGTAATCCATCATAGATTACCGAAGAGAATATCATAGGAAGACCTCCGACGAAAATTTTCTATATAATTAACCAAAGTCAAGAAACGTTTCGATGATTTAATTAGAGAAAGAGCTTATCTATCTCATTTGGCGTCTCATTTGATAAAAAGGTTTAGAGAAGAGAAAACTCAAGATTCCTGTTGGAAATAAGCTTTTTCATTTTCCATGTTCCAAAATAGAATTGCTCAATGGTCGTTAGAACGTACTTCATGTTTAAGCATATGTCAGAATGGAATTGAATTCATTGATGAATGAAGGAGTTGTTGTTGTTCTCCTCTTACATATCTCGTCAAGATATATTGATTCGAGTGATTTTAACACGAAGCAATACATTTCTCATCGTTTGGTTTTATATGTTGAATTATCTTGACGACGAGGGTGTGGACATTCTGATTGTTTTTTTAGTAAACATTCTACTAATCAAGGTTATCGATCTTTGTCTTGTGAGAAATAACGTCTCCAAGTAAAACTCTTATACATCGTCAGTAGATAAAAATCATCGTGATATGAAATGAAAACAGAGTATTTAGAGAACTTATGAAGGCGAAGAGCTGTGTTTACCTTTGTCATACCATATCATACTTTGTATGCGAAAGTATGCTGCCTATTGTTATCTTATCACCGTACTGTAAAAAGGATGTAAACATAGTTTTCATTTTCTTTTGTATGAAAAACTCGATTTCATGAAAGTTTTAGAACTATTCTCAAGCCTTTTTTGTGAGTATTGTGATCGAATAGTCTTGTTAGAAAATGTAAATTGATGATGGATATTCTTTCTTCTAGTGGCATTTATTATATTACATCCACAAGGTCAACAGATCACAGCGGTAAGCGGAAAACTATTCGCCAAATAAAACAGACGGTTTCGAAGGAAATCTTGATTGATTTAATAAATGATGAGTAGATGTTGTTTTGCGACTGATATGTCAAAAATGTTCTTTGGAGGATGTTCATTGCAATTGTATAATTGAAATTTCCGGACTTCAAGCATTTTCTACTTGCATTCACTGATTCGAGTCGAAGAAAATCAAGTATTTTCTTAATTTTCTTAATGACCAACGTTCCGTTCACAGGATTCTACAGCGGAAACAACGATAGATACTTCAACTGTTGCAAAAACAGCTGAATCAACAGCTAGCGTTGTGATTTCTGATGCAACTACTGCTAAATTATCAACTACTATGGCACCTGTAGTCACAACAGAACCGACTACTACCATGGCATTTACAACATTACGTAAATCATCTTCTTTTTTTTCCGAAATGATCATTTAAAGCTTTGTTACATTCAATGAAACTAAACATTTATAGCACCTGTGATAACTACTGAGCCTGCTACTGGACCTACAGCAATGACATCAACCACCACAACTGTCACACGAACAACCAGAACAAGTATGTAAACTTAAATAGAAATTAATAAGATGTTTATCTTCAATAAATCTACTTTAAAAGCGGTACCAAGAACTACGACAACGACAACAACTACTACTACCACTACCTTACTTTACACTACAGCAACACGTACGATTTCTCTATAGTTTATATTTTCTAGTCTATTATTTTTTAGCACCATCGAATCCAACTTGGGCTGTTGTTGGAGGTCTAGCAGGTGGTCTACTAGGTCTTGGGCTAATAGGTACCATAGCCAGTGTATATATATGTTACACAAATTCTCAACGACGTCTTGGTACAAATAACGGACATAACACTAATACAGATTATGTTGCCCTACAGTCAATGTCAAGTTTCTAACAGACCCTCTTATATATTTCTTTCATTTACTTATCCTTTTTTGAAAATATATATTGATCTTTGTGCGCAATTTATTGTTTTTGCTGTACACAGAGAGAGAGAGAGAGAGAGAGAGAGAGAGAGAGAGAGAAAGAAAGAAAAAAAGCTCGCAAGAGATATAGAATAAAAAATATAGATTACAAATATTTAATCATCATCTAATTCAATAACAGGAATATCATCTTGAACAGGTGGTGCAGACGAACGATCAATTGATTCTAAAAAAAAATACAGAAAACAAAGTTCAATGGATGAAATGTGCAATCGATGGATAAATTTACTTGTACGTGATCGATCATCATCGGAATCATCATTTGGTGAACGGTCAGCTTCTGCTACTGACTTTCCATTGGTAGTTTTAGCTGCTTGTGCTGCTTTATAAGCTTCTTTTTCGCGTTGTGCTCTTCGAGATGGTTTCTCTTCTCCCACAGGTTTCCATTGACCATTTGGTTCATATTCAATAGCTTTGGTATCCGGTGGACATTTACCGATGACATCAATAAAAAATTGATCAACAAACAGATCTGTATATAATGCTGGTTTATTACATACAGGACAAAGCCAAGCTAAAATTCGAAACATGAAGCGTCGCTAGACAAGTTCGCAAAGAAAAGAATGAATTCGTACTTGGCTTTTTTTCATTCATACGTAGATAACCCTCCAAGTCAAAACAATGTACATGTTTACATGTCAATGCTCGTCCGGGCATTCGCATTCGAATACGCATTGCTGGACAGTCGAGTGGCAGCCGAAGTGATGTCGATGCCACTTCGAGATCGTTGTCAGTTCCTTGCGGTGTTTGTGGAACTGATAAAATTTGTGTGATTGTACGTTGAGTTTCAGTCGCTGGACGAATAGCTGATGGACGAGAGAGACGTGCTAATAGTTGAGGAACGGTTTTCCGTTCTGTTAGAAAAACAGCAGCTACATATGTTGGAGATGGAGTCGAAACATCTTGCGTGTACCACGATATTTCGATCAGATTCGATATCAATGGACATAAACGACAATATTCTGTGATTTCAATTGGTCGACCTGGAATAAAAATGAGAAAAAAAACTTATGAATTACTTTTACTTTGTAGAAAATACCTGGTCGAATAACATCCGAATTTGGTTTTGCTGTTGGCTTTGGTTGAGGTAATGGAACAACACGATTGTTCACAATAACATAGAGATTAGGTGGCAATTTGTCTGGCGCGTTAATACCATTATTCATTGCATCGCCACCAACTGTTGTAAATCTCAACAAGATCTGTTTTCGATATTCTATTTTTGATTGATCTGTATTGAAATATGTCGATGTTGCCACATCTACATCAACATAGAAAACAAATCATGCCTACGAATCTTATCTCTTATTCAGACCTGATGCTTGTTGTGCTGATAACAAGAAATACAAATTGACTGAGTATTGCGGACCGTTGGTTGATTGTTTTGTTGATCCTACTGTATGCGGCGGAGAAATCACACATACATCTTCATTGAATGTAAATGGTGCAAAGCGAATATCGAGATTTTGTAGTTGATTGTTATGCACATGATGTCCTGTTCTGATTGTGTTGGTTGAATCTTTTGGATAGGGTATGGTAGGTTTATCACCTTGTCCAAAGCGTTTGTTATGCAATTCTTCGCATTTATCTCGAATTGTAATCGATGATTTAATCAGACTATGACAACGTTCGATGAGTTCCTGCCGTTTTCCTGTCCTTGATTGGCCAGCAAATGTTAATAATGTTTGTAAATCGTTAATAGACAACAATTGCAATTGTATGTAACGTTGTTCATCTGTTAGGGTATTCATGATCTGAAAACAAGACACAGGAGAGCCGTTTTTTTCTTCACTCTTTATCGAATTTCACATAGTGACTTTTTTTTTCGTTCTATCACCAATTAACAAGAAAGAAAAACAGAAAGTATTAACAGAAAGAAAAACTGAATTAGTCATCGATAAGAATTACATCCGACAGTTCGCGCGCTGCTGACGGTAACAGTTGAATATTAGCTTTGCAATCAATTGAATGATGTGAATACTTCTCATCCATTTCATCATCTAAAGTTATATCATGTACATCGGATACTTTGCGATAATTCTGTTCGATTGCCAACGAGGTTGATGCTGATGAAACAGGTTTCCAATTCAAATTACTATCAATTGAAATTTCATCAATGGCTTCATTTTCCATGGAATTCAATATCGATTCAGTATACGAGTCGATCTGCAGATCATCGAATAAGGCAGATTTATTGCATACGGGACAAATCCATTTACCGGCTTTTTCATTCAATGCTAAACAAAGAAAGGAGAAGATTCGTCGACGATTCCTCTTCGAATCCGGACATACTGATATAGTTGGTTAAGTCGAAACATTGTAAATGTTGACAAGTAGTTGCTCTTGTTGGTAGTCGCAATCGTCGTTGGTCAATAGGACATCTCAATTTCAATTTTTGATCACTGACTTCTAGACCTAGATCACGATCTGTAGCTAACGCTTTCGCTACTAGTTTCGCTAGATCTTCTCGATAAAATCTCGCTGTTTTGCTTTTGATTTGCTCATATAAATCATCGATTGTTAGATGTTGAACGACAAAGATATGTAATGCAAATTGGGCATTGGCATATTGAGAATGCAACACGGTGTTCTCCGGACGATATGACCATGTTATCGAAACTTCATTTTTCAGCTCGGGATTAAACATACAGTAAGACGTGATATCAATCTCGCGTCCCGCACGAATCAAATCGGGTTGTTGTCGTGCGCAAGGCTTCGGTATTGGCAAGTTCGCTAAATTGTGCGAATTGATTTGCACGACCAGATTGGGCGGTAGATTATCATCGTATTTCCCGTTGGACATAGGCGGTTGATCAAGTCGTACAAGACGCATGATCAAGCATTTCGACGTTTTGTGTATGTCAAGATCAGCATCGTAATCATAAGATAGAGCTAATTGGTTACAAACTTCGAAAGGAATGAGAAAATCACCTTGATAAAAATATTGTTTACGATAAGTATCGTAACGAAATATTTGATAAAGCTCTTGAATGCAAGACAAAGGACGATAGAATGGTAAAGTTTTATGTACAACTTTTAATGTTGGTATTGATGATGAAGGAACCGTTCGTGGAATGTTTGCTGATTGTGGAACAGTAGGCGGAGGTGGTGGAAGTAGAATGGGAATTTGATATCGAACGTTATTTGTTGTAGAACCATTCGTATGTGCTGCTGGTGTTGATGGTTGTTGAACATATGCTTGTCGGGATACTATCGAAGGAAAGTATGTTGTCTGTTGAGGACGAACATTCGATGGTTGATGATTAAGAACTACGGTTGTTGCATTAGGTCGAACTAAACATTTTGTAAAACAACAAGTAACGAAAGCGTTTTTCTATTAGAAAAGTACTTAATAGGATGTATCGAGCTGCAGTAATCTGATTAGTAGCTGTTAGTATTTGGAAAAGCAAGAGCATATCGGATTACCTGTTCTATTTAATTCCAATGAAGTATCTGTCTGAAGAAATTAGTGAACCATCACAGGTACAAATTTGACATGAAAGCATTGAAGAAGAGCATAGATACGACTCAATGTTTAACCTCTTCACCTTTACAGTAAAAGTTCATTAACGAAGAAAGATCATATCATTGTTCATATGTAATGAACTTAGAACTCAGAGGAACAGTGCTCATCTCAATGATATATATATGTCAAGAGATCTCGCAGATGCGGTCAGAGAAGACCGTTACTTTTCTCGCGAATCAAAAAAATGCTCTTACTTTGTCGTAACGGTTGCGAAACATTCGTGGCTGGTGGGTAACGATAATTCGATTGAACATTATATTGAATGTTTTGTGGTGTATAATAATATGCTTGTTGTTGTTGTTGTTGTTGCTGCTGCTGCTGCTGCTGCCGTTGTGGTTGTTGTTGGTTGTAAGAGGTCGTGTAATTTTGTTGCTGTGCTTGTTGTTGTGGTGCTGATGATGCTCGATATGATTGTTGATATTCATTTGGAAAACGTTTTTGTCTCAATGCATAGAGTGTTTGTTCGAGATCGACTGAATAATCATTATCGATTAGAATGAACGATTGTTGAATTAGTTGTACTCGTGAATGATGTTGAAATTGATTATTTAATGGTGTATTTGTTATTGCTTGAAAATGATTTGTTAGGAATAAACGTAATTGATTATCGGTTAACTCATTGACAACTTGTCGAAGTCGCACACGATGTTCCTGTGAAAGACGTATAGTATTATTATTTGATGTAGTTACCATCGATGCGTGCATAGTTTGTATTGAAGTTAAGAATGCTGCGTGAGTTGAGCAATGCGTATGTACATCCGTCGATCACGGGCATGAATGAGAACAAGTATCTTGTCACATGTAGATAAAAATATGTCTCTTTTTTTGGGGAATAGTTCTTTGTATACAGAGACCATCTGACTAATCAGAATTAAACAAATTCGTTCGTTGTCATTTGATCAATTATATCATTTCTTTTAACTTCGACTTTTTTGAATACGGAATGACATCTATAGACACAAACATATTTCCGAAAAGCATTTCTTCAGAAGAAAACTAACAGAGAATTCAATGCCACGTAAAGTTTTATTTTGAATTTTTATTGGAATAAATTTGGTTATAGATGGCATTGGAGTTCAGATAATAGAGCCGCCAGTGACGTCCGCATCTGTTCTATCAAAGCGAAGGAAAAGAAGAAGTCTATATTATTATGCGGACATTGCCGGCAAACTGTTTTTCTTTATGTTATTATTGATGATATATTAGAATGTTTTCTTTTGAGATATGATAGGTAGACAGATAGGGAGATAAAAACTCGTTTGATAAATGCGAAATTAGACGATAATCAGCATGTTTTTATTTATCTAATGTTTTCACGGTAAATACAAAACGATTTCGAATTGAACGTCGACTCTCGCAGATAGAAAGCATTATCGAGTCCGACTTGATCGATATCATTTGAGTATACCACAGAAATGCTATCATCGATATTCCTTCCGAAGCCTCCATCGTCAACTAATCCTTGTAATCAAGAGAAATGTAAATATACATATCGTTGATTTGAGTTCTAATGCAAAATCTATTAACATCACTTATGTGAGAGTTGATAACTCATACAATGCAGCCTTATGTTATCATGAGCACGTCGTTGTCGTGATGAAAATAGTATCGCGTATTTGTTTTATCGAAATGTGGAACATTATTGAAATACTTTCTAGTTTATTATCGAGATATCTATATCTACAACTAATTAGTATATATATATATATGTCATCCTTGTGTCTATGTATTATATTAACAAAAATTTCAAGTATGCTACAGAAGAATAAAACTTCTCGTTTCGAAAATGATCCCGATAAGCTGCTCGTTCGTTACATTACATGACAACATTGAGAGTTTTTCGATCTAAGACATGGATTTTCATCGTTGTAAGGTTGCCAAGATGATTTTCGTCTTCGTAATGATTGAGGTAGTTCAATTGTTAGAATTTGATTTTCATCCAAGCGTGCTCGTATACGATCGCGGTCGATATGTTTCGGTAGTTGATATTGTCGATAATATTCTTTATTAATACGGTGGCCAACTGTCTCATCACTATGCTGTGCTGTGACTTTCAATAGGCCGTGTTCATTGATTCGAACGGTGATGTTTTTCGGTCGATATCCATGTAGATCAAATGTAAGAATGTTATCATCCGTAGTTAATAAGTTATTTTGACGTGGTTGAACTTCGACGTCAACACGGAGCCGTCCGTAATTATCGAGTGTATTTCGTATAAGTTTGCTTTCGAGATTCGGCCCGCCAAGATTGTACTCCCGTCGAAATTCTTGACATAAAGATCGACAAGCACGGATGCGTAGGCGACCGTTTGTATCAAGTAGCACAGTTATCTGTTCAGGTTCGTAGCCAATTAAATCAAATTCATAGGAATAGACACGATAACCTTGTCCATAATCATGTATTGAGTAACGATTTGTCGCCGGAGAAAAACGATTTATGTCATCCATGATTGGTAGTAATAATGAAGGTGTCATCGATGGAAATCTATGAACAGAAGGATGAGTTGAATGGAAGACTTTCTCTTAGCAAAAACACGATGATATTAACACACAGAATAACTACAAATAACCTTGACATTATTTTCTCGAGAGAAAATCAATGTTGGCCTTGCATCTCGCCATATTCATATCCATATAGAACCAAGAATAAATAGAAGAAAGAAGAAAATCGATAGCAGACAAGACGAGTTATTCATGATATACTGCTGTTATCGGTTACAACACTGATGATTGTTTGACTACATATATCAAGAGAATTTTCTCTCGAAGACAAAAATGATTAGGCTAATTCGAATCTTCGAAAAAGTCAAATAAACATATTGATTGATTTCAATGAGTTGACTTCGTGTGACATGTTCGATAATCGTGTCTTCAAGAGTTATCACCGATTACGTATGCAATTGTGTCAAATCCTTTTTTCAATGAACGAATTATTATGGAGTATAGAGCGCGTTTTCCGCCTAAGTAATACTTTCGATTTTTCTTGGTAGCGCATACTCAATTAGTAAATCTTAAAAAGGCGCTTGTTACCATACCAAAGTAAACTGTTTAATCATTCTGAGCATTTTCATTCAAAATATCAACGGTTGTTTCGCGTCAATTCCATTGAGTATATAATGCAAGTCATTCTCATCATTACTCTCCTGTCAACAATATTTTTCTCGAACAGTGAAGGTAAAGTCAAATAAAACTAGTTTGACTTATCACTCTATATCGGTATGTTTGTAGGAGCTATTAATTGGATTGGTACATTTACGAAAGGCCCAGGATGCGATACAAATTTGTGTTGCTGTCCGAAGAGTGACTTGGTCATTATTGATGGCAGTAATAAAACTAACGCCACCATATCAATCGAAGGCGCTTGTCTAAAACCGAATGCGTCGCTGATCTCGTTTGATATAGATAAATCGGCAGACAATGTGACTGTCCAGGATGTGGGAATTTTTACTGTGAAGGAAAACATGACAGTCACGTTATTTTGGGTAAACATAATTTGTATATATAGATATAGATGATTTCTGTTTCGAAATTTAGTGTGACACCGGAGAGTTTACCATTCGAATTATGTAGCTCAGTTGAATAGACTTTTGAGGTTAATAGCAGCTCAGAATATTGCGTGAGAGAAAGCGAGACATGTTTGTGCACATAGTTGAATCTAGTTTTTTTAAACTCAATTACAAACTTTGTCATTCTTGTTTTATTCATATTTTCTAGACGTCTACACAAACGGCTTGTCCCGATATTATTATGAAACGTTCTTCGACCACCCTCGTGCTTCATCAGTCTACTGGTAGCCCCAAACCTGGTGATACCACTATTGGTAATCAAAACCAAGGCAATGGAGTCACATCACATCAAGTTTCATTTGTTTTCAACTTCGTTTCAAGTGTCGCCACACTTCTTGTAATGAAAACTATTTAATTAACAATGATGTTATAAACTTTGAAATTCCTATTCTTCAGAGATACGTATTTATGTTCGACGAGAAAAGGTTATTTTTGGTTTTTGTTTCGAAATAAAAATACAATAAAATAGCCGAGGAAATCTTTCAAAAAATTCAACGAATTTTTATTATACAAAGAGAAAAAGAATACAAAGTTTTATTTTGTATCACAAAGAAGTGCAACACCTCGCAGCGTCCAAACATCCGGACCAGCTTTGTCACCCGGTGGACATTCTAATTTAAGTGTACAAACGTAATTTCGATCTGTGCGGCGTGGTTTCTTATAAACTGGCGCATAGTAAGCTGGGCGACGGTCTTGTTTCGTCGGTCCCATTCCATCTGCTTCAGCAGAAATATGTACTACAGGCATTGGATGTGTCAAGACTTTTTCATTTGCTTTCAGTTCGTCAAGTGCGCCATTTTTGATTTTCGCGCCTTCAATATACAAACCATAAACATAGAGACCTTCACGTGGCGGATCTTTCAATGCATCGCGATCCATGCGAGTCACTTTATTAGTAAGAATGACATTATCAAGTGACCAACCTGGATTAGCTCGTGTCACTTCCTAGACAAAGGGATATGAAATAACATTGACAAAGAGACCTGTTTCGAAAAACTAATTCGAAATTACCTGACGCATGGCGGTTAAGAATCCTTGTGGATTGAAAAAACCGGTCATCCAAAAAGCAATAGGTCGTGTGTCTTTCTCAAGTTTGAGCCATGCACGATACTGATCGTTTCGTGCGTATAAATCAGTGAACCAAGCACCCAACGTTGATGATTCCCATGATAATTTGAGCCAAACAGTGGGAATTTTCGCATCGTACATGCGATCCAGTGCATCACGTAATTCTTCATTCATAACAATAGTACCATCAATAGCTAGTTTCAAATCGATCAATGTATGTCGTACGGCATTGAGTACACGTTGAAAACGATCAATTTCTTGACGAAGAAAGATATTCATTGGTTCAAGTTTCGATAAACGTTCTTTCACTTCGTGAGCAATGTAATCGGGTGGGAGTTTTTCCAGTGTTTCAGTTGCCAGGCGATAGATGACAGCTTCCCGTGTTTCGCCTGCACCACCACGAGCTTCTTTCGGTTGGATGCTCAGAATTGTATCGAGTACTTTTCGAGTAGTATCTTCTTGATATCTAATCAAAATGGAAATCTTTCGCTCCTGGTCAAACTCAACGTTTAAACAAACCTGTCATTAGCTAGCGGGCTTAAACCGAACACTTTTCCACTGTCGTAGTTAGGCATGGAGTCTATATAATCAAAAACATCTTCTATGCGAGCCATGCGTGGTATACGATAGGTTTTATCTTCAAAATAGAACGCCGGATCGAACATATCGTCACGAAACCAACATTTAACATATGTTTTCAAGAGTCGTTTATCAAAGTCGTCCGTGACACGTCCTGCAAATACACATTAAGCTTAACTTTTCAATCTACATTCGTTTTCTCACCTCCGTATTGTACTTCGGATATCATGTAATGAATTGTTTTCCATTGCATGGCCTAGAAGATCATAATTCGCTCTAAAACATTCATTATCGTAGAAATCCTACTTTGGACATATCCATTTCGTCGAGATAGTTTTGAATAAATTGAACTGTCGCATTGAAGTCCGATTGATTGAATTCGTATGGAATGTTCCATCCTAATGGACCAAATTTTCTTCGTTCTTGAACAATTGTATGTAGAAATGCGACAGCGTACAGTAATGGACGCCATTTCTCATGTGAATTCGATTCTAATTGTTGTTCTTGTGTTAGACCAGCGAATGTTCGTTTGAGGCCGGCTTTCACACCTTGTGGCGGTTCAGCGGTATATTTAATCGAAATTTGAAGAAGACCAATCGGAAACTTCGGATGAACTTCAGTTGTTATCCAAAGGCGAAAGTCTGGATGAATACGATCAGTATTATCGGTTAGTTGAATTAGGAATTCTTCACAAAAGTCCAATGATAAGTGACAGTTCTGCAGTAAAACCCACGAACCGTTGGAATACGCTTGAGATAGCAATCGTCTAGCATGAACTTCCTGTCCTTGTCCCATGGATATTGCATTACATTCAATGGTCTTCTTTTTGGCCAATGTTTCAATTTGTACAGTGGGATCGGAACCCATGGAGAGAAAACATATCATTGGTGAGCATTTATCCGATTCATCCCACATTTTTTCCATGTCAAGAACAACACCTTCGCCGTATCTCGGCCCCAATGAATCGATGATATAATCGTTCGCAGCTTTAACAAAGCGTGCTGGTGTAATTGAACGAANGATCGGAACCCATGGAGAGAAAACATATCATTGGTGAGCATTTATCCGATTCATCCCACATTTTTTCCATGTCAAGAACAACACCTTCGCCGTATCTCGGCCCCAATGAATCGATGATATAATCGTTCGCAGCTTTAACAAAGCGTGCTGGTGTAATTGAACGAATGAGAAGTAGACGACGAAATTTATCTAATTGCGAATCCCAACCATCGGGCAATTCAGCGCGCTCAGGTTCGTCTTTCTACAAAAATTCAATTTCATTCCGATGAATAAGTTTATCTCTGGCGCGAACTTACCTTAAACCATGCATCCCATGCAGGACCAGAGCGATTCAACTAGAATGAAATGAAAATTTTGTTTTTGAGAACGAACAAGGACATGAGCGAGAATCTTACTGAATTTAAAATGTCACTAAACTGGAACAGTTTCGATAGTTCGACAAGATTCAACCAGGTATCATTCTGTAGCCATTTGTAAGTTGGTTTTGGTGGTGCTAGAATATGAGAATAGATAACAGAGCTCGATCAAATTGTACAGAATACCTGTGCTTGCATCGATTGACGCACCACCTTTGATCAATGTTTGAAATTCATCGTATTTCAGTCTTCCGGCTTGTAAATCAATCTTTAATCCCAACAACAACGTAAACATGAACTTATGCTCTTCATAGTAACCGCGAACAGCATATTTGAACATTTCATAGGTTAAAAACTCCATGATGTTTGTAATACGTTTCGATGTTACAGGTGACTGAAATGATAAAAAAGTTGCTCAATAATTAGTTCCAATTGGAAGTCGGCAGAAATTACCTTTGGTGAGCGTTCGAGCGCTTGATCGAATAGTTGGAGAAATTGTTTCAGTGAAGTTTGGTACATCACATTTACAAGAGACATTTCAACAATGAGAAAGTAAATGATCGAACCACGTGTAGCAACAGGTCGGTACTCTTCACGAGCAATGTTGATCTTTTGGCTTGTCTCCGTTGCAATTTGAAGTTTTTGCTTCACATCACTCGAAGTTACTTTCGTTGTTTTCAATGTTCGAATAAGATCATCATCATCAACTAATGATCCCTGTAAGAAAAAGATAAAGATAAACTTTTTTTCCGAGATACTTCGAGTTTTACTTTTGAATTGCTCAATCTCATCAGAAGATTATCTTCTAGCTCTTTCATGCGTTTATTATTTGCTTGGATATCTTCTAACATTTTTACACGTTCACCTTCCAGTTCAGCTTTCTCTTTCAGAATCGTTAAGCCTAACAGCTGATCTTCTAAGCCTTTGATTGTCACAGTGAAATCAATTACGGACGTTTTTGCCGAAATTTCCGGTGTGAACGCTGGATTGGCTAGTTTTGTCGTAATATATAAATTGAATCCTTTCAGTACATCAACTTCTTTATCACCAACTTTAACTTTCAAGGTAGTGCCCGAACGAATGAAATTTTTCTCTAGGACATTATCTAATGCCGGATCGAGTTCTTCACCAACGTCTTCAATTAATAATGGTCGACCGAGTGAGAGACAATCTTCCAAATGTTGCCGAAAGTGTTTCGTGGAGAGATTTGTTGTTTGTAAGTCATTTGTCGCTTCTTTATTTTTAATCCAGGCTTTGCCTTGACCCTGAGGATCAATCAATAGTGGATAACGTTTAGCACGCGTAACGATAATGGCGTTCTGAATAGATAGTTCATCATTGGGTAGACCTTGTAACTTCCATTCGCCAACAATCGTCACGTCCGTTAAATACTCAGTGACATTCAATGAGCGAGTAAATGGAATATTCTGTTCGGTTAATAGTTTTTGCCAATCTTTAGCTAATAAGATGCGAAAATCTTGATTGAACGGGCCTTGATAGGAGAGAAATCCGGTACATAGTAGTACATCACCGACCAAACTATGAAAATCAATGAATAAAAAAGAACGAATTCGTTTGCATATGTTTTTACCGTCCAATTTGGGCTTTGAACTGCTTGCTCTGTTCAGTCCATCTTTCTTGTTCGTCAGCAAGGCCAGTTATTAATTCTCTTGCGGCATTCATTCGTTTCAATGTACGATCGAGATCATCTTGCAAACGCTGTTTGATTGCCATAGCTGCATCGTACTCAGCTTGTGCAGCAGCAACTTCCGCTTCTCGTCGGTCAAGTTCGGCTTGTGCTGTTTCTAATTGAGCATTGGCTTTGGTTAAACGAGCTTCTTGCATAGCTAAATTCGCTTTCAATGGTAGAACACGTTTGTTTACATAGAAGAAATCAGCCATAGCACGTGTCCATGTCAAAAGACCAGCAACAGCGCCGGCAGCTACTTTAGCACCTTCTGGTGTGTAGTCAGGAACACGAAAATAGGTTTGAAGTAATTCGATTTGTTCGTCATTGATACGATCACGTGGGAATGTTTGAAGATTTTGTAAGAAACCAGTATCAGACATAAGCTAAATAAGAAAGATGATATCTTCCCCTTGTTTTTGTGGAATAAATTTGAAAAAAATACTTTTAATGAGTTTTCCCAACTTGGCTCAGGCCCTTGCAAGTCGGGATCGATTCTAATCGGATTCTTGAGAGGACGCCCAAAGAGGATCAGAACACAGTCCATCATTTGACGAATAAGACGAGGTGGACGGCCAAGTTTACGCACAACTGCAATATCAGCAGGTGTAATCGTCAGTAAAGCTTCTTCTGCAGCCTAAAATTGCAATAGAGATGATGTTTTAGCATACGAACCGTCAATAGTTAGACATACTAATAACGCTGGTTTAGCCTTCTCTAATTCGGCATTGGCTTCGATTTTGTCACGATTAATTTCATCGACCAAGGTCTGTGCGGTGTCTTTCACTTTTTGTACTTGTTGTTTAACTACCTCTGCTGCCCCTTTTTTCACTGCAACTTCCTTCAAAACTTCGTCTGCTTTCTTATTCGCAATATCTAGTTCCTGTTCTTTAACGGCTAATTCCTCTTTCATGACCATGACTGCTTTTTCTGCGTCAACTAAACGTGTTAACCCATCATTCATACGCTTAGCCATCGACTCGATTTCATTTAGTTTCTGCGAATAGATTTCCTTGTAACCATTCAAAAAGGCAAGGTAAGATTTCGGTGTGACATGCGTTGCACGGCGATATTTTTGAAAGTATTGCAGACAATACTCAGCAACACCGTCATGAACCGAGCCCATGCATTGAACTACTTGTTTTTTGATTGCATCTGTACAAACAATATTGAAAGATGAAAGAAAATGATCGGCGACAGCAACTAATGCATCGCGAGGCCAACGAAGGAACCAATCGATCGTACAGTTGGCGACCAGACCAGGAAATTGTAGACCTACATGAATACAGATTAGGTTGATACATATGTGATAAAGAGAATGCTAACCTCGTTTACGGAATTTCTCACCAACAGGTGAAAAACATAGAACAACATGTAGGTTTTGTCGAACACGGGACAAAAAGTAATCGTAGAGATTTTCATTAGTGGGTGGCCGTCGTGGATATTGTTTTTTCATGACGGGTATCAATTCTTGACATATTTCATCCATTTCATCTCGTGCAAACATTCCCGGAACCTAAAATGTTGAGATCGTCAACAATGTTCAACACTCGTCGCTTTCTACTTACAACTCCTGATGAAAGTACATTGTTAATATATTCAAGAAATGATTCATCTTTAATGTCCTGATCAGAAAAAATAAAGGTAATGCCTTTGCCATCTTTTCCCGCCACGCGATATAGCGTTTTCAAGTCTTCTAACAGATTATTAGTATTATAGGCGCGTGTCAAAGTGATTTGGAACGTTTTGTAGCCAGCAATAAAGGACGCTAACTTTGTTAGCGATTGTTTTCCACTACCACCTACACCAACTAGTAGTGCATTGCCACGTGGTGTTCGAATGATACGTGAGATTTTTACTAGATGTGCCATCGCATCTTTGAAAAAGACTAAATCCATACCGGAACCACGAATACTTTCGTTATATTGTACTAAGTACATTTTTAAACGTTCTTCGAGGGCTTCGAACGATGGGATAGGTTCGTATATTTTAGGAGCATCAAAGTCGGCATCTTCAGGCTCATCACCTGTCGGTTCAGGTGCATCTCTAGAAGACAAATTCGGTTAGTTTGATCGACAATGCAAAAAAAGGGATGTGAATAGATGAGGAAAACAAGTGATACCTTAGGAAGTCGACGAAGTACTCTTCTTTTTTTACCATCGGCTGATATTTTGCACCTAATTCTTCTTCAGCAACACGTTCAGTCGTTTTGTAAAACCAACGGTAATCATCGACTTCAGTGAATCTGTGAAACAAACGAAAAGGAGAAGTGCGCAGTGCTTGTGAATAAAGGAAAAGTTTTGTTTGAGGGAGAAGAGCATGTTTGACCTAACAACAACGAAATAAAACCTGAGAAAATGAGCGAAATATGTCGTTTCTCGCATATAAGCACCTAGTTTTATTCCTAGATGTTCATCGATCAGTCGACAAAGTGAGTTCTCAAACCATGTTCTATCACTTTGATTAATAAATCTTATTGAACAAAAAGAAGCTTTCGACTTGCATTCGAATCTCTTTTGATCTACTTACCTATCGCATATAACACGTGTACATTCATGTTTCCACAGTGCACTTAACGTTTTTTCATTGTCAATCACCTGTGGAATAGTGTTAATCATTCCTTGCCATATACGCGAAAGATCACGTAAATTGAATACGTAGTGAAATTTGGCTGGTGTTGGCAGCATCTTGATTTTTGTTAATTGCCATAGACGCCTCGTTGCAGGCACAAGTCGTTCAATTAATGAGCGTACTTCTTCATTGAATCCACGTTCTTTTGCGTAGTGTCCCAGAGCAATAACCGAGAAGATTTTATCGATGGATGTATTCGATGGTAGTGTACAATTGAATATGCAAAATTGTCGTTTTAAACGCTGAGGAATATCATTTCGGCCACCGCCCGGATGAATCATTGCAGCAAGAAACTGGATATCCACGATGGTTGTGAATTCACCTGGTTTTTCCAGTGAATAAAAACCACTCTGTTCCATCAGCTGACGAACGATTTCATTTGTTATTTGATCGCCCCATTCATTAATCGTTGGCATATTAACTAAAAAACAATGATAGAATCTGATTCTCAAGAACTTGTTCTCGATCACATACTATCATCGATGAAAACAGTCATTTTCTTGCCAGCTGGTGGACCGTACGTTGTTCCAACACGTTTGTCAACATACGATTCAATTATTCGTTGAACCATATTTGGTGTTGTTGCTGATGAAAAATTTACCGTTTTTTGAGCATGCTCTTCGGCGTTATAACGGGCCATATAAGATTGGATAATAACTGTCTTGGCCGTACCTTGTTCGCCGATTAGAAGAACAGGCTATATATAAAGCAAATATTCCTTTCTTTTCATTTCAAATGACAAATTATACGTTCTTACTTTATGTTGTTTTGCAATGGTATGGATGAGAAAATCTGTTCGAACGTTATCAACATTCGGCACGAGAATTGATGCATACTCAGGATCGTGGTCTTTCGGGTAATTGTACTCTGTTACAACAGTATTCCAATGTTTCCATACACCTGTTTTATCATGAACAAAATAATCGAATATCGTATCTTCACTATCCGCTGGTATGGTCGGTGTGTCCAATTGAAAGTTCGCGTCCGGATCATTGCAAATATATTCTTGTAAGCGAGCCCGATCATCTAGCTCGAGAAATGCACCTATGGACCACATCAGTGCAAACACATATAAGCGTTCAATGTGTTGAGCATTCAGCTGATCTTTCGCTTCCTTCGATGGTAATAATCCATTCAGCAATTTACACGCCTATATCAACATGTATTTCAGATAAGTGAATCAAGAGAAAAGCTTTCTGTACCTGTGTAACAATCATACATTCGAGGATGGGCATTTTGGATTTGAGATGAAGTGCGAAGTATCGATAGATATATGGGAATGATGATTCGAATAAACGCATAAGAACTTCGCCATCATTTGCTGAACGGTCACGTTTGATCCAACCCTAGTTAAACAGAGAGCAAAACAAGCACGAGCAGATTCACAGACGATTTGTTATTCTTCCTAATAATACCTGAATCAGTGGTCGCCAATCTAAACCAGAACTACTCATATAAACCATACCATTTCGACTAACAGTGGCTGGTGATGCGTTATCAATGTTGTGCACCTCGAAGATAATTTTACAATTCGGTGCCATAGGTATTCGATCACCATTGGCTAATGTTAATGTTTTGTTATCATCCAAGACAGAATTCAAATTTTCAATCCAAATTGCATCTACAGGACCATCTAAGACCAGCCACACAAATTCGCCTTTTTTCGTTCGCAATGTTCGTCTCCATAGTGTAGAAAATATGCCGTCTGTCCAATCATTTGTTGCTGCATCTAGTCTTCCGAACATTTGCGGTGCTGTAATTGCTTTAGGATTCATTCGCATTTCACGATGTGGTTCACCACAGATCGTCATTGCTTTCATTAACGTATGAATACAGCATGTTTTGCCGACACCCGATGGTCCTAAAGTCATCATACCATGACGAACACGTTGAGTTTCGAATAGCTGAAAAATTTCAATATCAAACAAAACAAAAAAACAAAGATTTGAATCGTTTACTTGAATGATCTTTAATATCCACGGCGGATGACAAATTAAACCAGCAGCTAGTGCTTCTTTATCAATTGCTGCTTGAAGTTCAGCGTACGTCTCTTTTTCTAGTTTAATATTTGGAAAAAGATCGTTGATCAGAGAAATGAACAACGGTTCATCTTCGTCAACCTAGAAAAATCAAGTTAAGAGATTGATAAACACGAATCACGTCATACTAATTTCGATAAATTCATATCTCGAAGAACTCGCATAACAATTGTCTTCTCCTGATCATCTTTATTTGCACGTTTCACTGCACCCAATGTTCGCAGTACGGACAAAATATTTCGTAAACCAAAATCATAATGAACCTAAAAAGGTTTGAAAATTCCTTTCCACAAAAAGAAACTGATGAAGATTACTTGTTTACTGAGTTGTTCTTCGCATAGTTTGTACAGTGTATAGAATTTCTTTGATAGGGGTACATTCTCTCGAAAACCACAGGCAGCCATTTTCACCCGAATAATCGGTAAACGATCTGGTACCATCATGGCCACTGAACGAAAGTTGATCTTCAAATTTTCGGGTAATTCTTGTCGACCAGCATAGCCAGGATTCATAGTAAGAAAAATACCGAATTCGTTATTCATCTCAACGATATCACCATCGGTGAAGACGAACTGACGTTTCTTTTCTTTCTTACATGCAAGAACAATCGCAATCTGTTGAGCCGCGACGGATAAGACAGGTAAATCGATACGATTGAATTCATCGAAACATCCAAACGAACCGGATTGTGCTAAGCCTTTGAAAATACGACCTAAACCACGGAAATCCATTTGGTCCGAACAGTTAAAAACCTACTCAAAAGTGCAAATGAAACCCTCAATTTATATAGTCAAACGATTAACTTACAACAACGTATTTGCCAAGACATCGACCCATATCTTTGACCGTCTCGGTTTTTCCTAGAAAAATCAACAAATATATTGTAAAATCACTACGAGACTACTCTCCTACCTGTTCCAGCTGGCCCGGCAGGCGCTCCACCCATACTCATATGTAGAGCTTGAGCTAATGTGATATAACATCGATCTGTTAATGGCGTGATAACTAAACGTTCATTGCAACCGAGAAATTCATTCATGTATGTGAAGTCGACGTCAGTGATAGAGATTTGAATCTTATCCAGTTCATCAACAAAATAAAATCGTGTTTGTTTTAGCCAGTCGAAATCTGTCACAGATCGTACACCTGTTTGGACAAGTTCATCGAAGATATCCTTTTGATGAACATGAATAGTAATTAAAGTTTCGTATTTGGTACGTTCAACACGTGTTAAATCTTTTGTAGTTTGATCAATTAATATGTCGAGTAGATCACCAAAGACTTTGGCTGTTTGTTTCATGATATTTTTATCTGATTTGGCGTTTCGTAGTGCTTCCGTAGCATCACGTGTCCAAATCAATTGAATACCTAAGAGACCAACTTGAGCAGGATACGTATTAAGAAATTCAATGAGATTGAATGAAGATGGATCGGATAGAGCATGGTACGCTTGACGAATAACGCCATGTAATGATCGTTGGGATTCTTTGAGCAGTGACATTAGCCATACTTCAACATTACCTTCAGCTTTTACAGGTTTTTCAAGCTAAATAGCAATACACAATGACGGGAAATGGGGAAGAAGATTCGTAGATGTTTCGCTTACTTCAACAGTTTCACCTTCCGATGATTCAATGGTTAAAATCTTATCGTATTCTTTGTCATGAAAGCGTACAGTTTTGATATTATCAAAGACACTTAGTAAATGTGCTTTGATTGTATGTGGATCACTTGCTTGTCCTAAAATTTCCAACAGTGCCGGATCCGAGACAAAGAAGAACCGTGGAAACAGAAGACGTTTGCGTTCCAAATAACCAGTTAGCGATTTTTGACACAATTCCAATTGTTCAAGTAAATGTGGCAACAATTGTTTTAAAGTTTCATCTGTGGTACAGCAGGGCACAACAGCGGGTTGCTCATGTGCTTTTGACATAATTTTAAGCCAAGATTTATCGATTGATGAGAAGCGTTTGGCTTCTTGTGGTAGTTGTTTAGCAATATCACCGCCAACAAATACAGCTTCGAGATAAACCCATAAGTTCTGTACGTGCATCCAATTGTCAATAATTTCGTTTGTGTCGGTTAGATCTTTAACCCATTTTTGAATTTGTTTACGAAATGGAACATTGTATCTACAAAGAACTACGCGCGTGTACACAGAAATCAATGTCGGATAACAAACCTATTTGACATTAAAGAACCGAGTAACATTAATGAGTCTTCTAGTAGACTAATAACTTCTTGGATTCGATCGCCTTTCAGTAACAGTTCTCCACGTGTTTTGAATTGAGCGAAGTTAAACTCTTGTGTTCGCCAATCTGCTTCAACTTGTTTCATCTTCGCTTCAATGTCACGTTCTTTCACCGCTGCAATGCAAATATCTTCAATATCTTCTTTAAATTGTAACAGTGGAAGATCCATGACGTTTCGCAAACGAAAATCATCAGCTTCGATGTCCAAATTGTGCACGCCAGTAACTTCGGCTATACGTTGCCAATGCCGAGTTTGCATTGCTCGGTTAGACATCATTTCTAGCAATGGACAACCTTGAAGAAAAACGAAACAGGTAAGGTGTTTGGAAAATCATCTCCTTACATTCACTAAAATCATCAATTGTCTTCTTCAATGCATGAAATGCTGGAAATTCTCGTAAACCTTTCGGCAGTTTTCGACATGCATTCTGAAAATCCGATAGTTCTTGATTGATTTTATCAATGTTCACATCAACCCATGAAATATCATAATAACTGGCCACTGTATCCAAAACTCGATTGTACAAACCATACAAACGTTGGAGTAATGTGAGATCTTTGCGGATCTTCTCCAATTGTGGAAACTCGGTCACAGGCAGACCGAATAGCAATTCTCCTCCATGATACGTTTCATATTTCTTGTACAAATTCTCTACTCGGCTCTGAAATAATATTTGTCGATCACTGGATTCACGCGGTGTTAAGCCTGGTAACGTCGGTCCACCGTGTTCATAGTCAACATAGAACTTTCCGCATTCTTCAACGAATAGTTTCATATTTTCCAGCAATTCATCGCGTTTCGTTGGTTGAATTTTTATCAAGTGCGTCGTGATTTCACTCTAAAGAGATCCGAACAACAATGAAAAACTAGTGAATATTCTTTTCAAGCTTACCGAATGTCTTTGAAGTTTTCCCCAATCGTATCGCAGCGTTTCTGCTCGTTCTACTTCTTCACGAGGGATGGTGATACCATGTGCTTGAAGCATTGTATAAGACTCTTCGATAGGTCCGATACTCATATCAATACGAATTTCATTGTCGCGCAAATCTTTGATAGCAAGCATCACCAAACGTATATCTTCCAGATCTTTAATACCACGTGATAAACGTTTTCCAATATCATCAATAAACGCTCGCACTTCAAGCATTTCTTTGCGATATTTTGTGTTGCATGCTTGACCGTAACAAGCAATCCAGTCGCGAAGTTCATGGTTGAGACCGTATTTGAGATGTTCTATTTTGAGGAAAGAATAGAATTAAATTTAAGAAAGGTTCTTTCATACCAGTATAGATTGCTAGAGGTCCAACCGGGATGAAATCTGGTTGTGCACTGATAGCTTCGGATAAATTTTCGTAAGATTTAATTTTTGCTTCGAATTCTGATGCACGTGGATCATTGGCGAGAAATTCTTTTAATTCATCATCACGATCTCGTTGCCACAAAATATTGTATTGAGTAAATACGATCAATGCTGCCGTGACATCCTACAGGACCAAAACATAAATAGTCATCTTTCGAAGAGTCTTCAAATTTACTTTTTTCGTTGCATTGATGCATGTAGCTAAGATGGCCACTAGTTTTGCTACGTCTTTATTTTCTGACACATTCTTATAGTAATTATTCGCTGGAGTGAATTGTACTCGTTCTTGTCGATGATCTGTTGTTGTTGGCTCGGTAGCACGTGTTCGATTGAGAGAAGTATCATTCGCTGGCACTCCTTGATGAGTTAAGTCACGTGTCGAAGCATCGAGATTGAAGCCGGTCGGCGTCAGACCCGGAGTCGTCGGTGCACCTTCGTCCTCTCGATCCGATTGAGGATTAACTCCAGCATGAGATTCGTTATCACCAGTCGCCGCATCGAGTGGTATTTCAGTATTATTCTCACGTTTACTTTGCTAAAGAAAACAAAGAAAATTGGTAATAAGGATTTGATCTTGTTCGGAACAGGAAGTCAATCCATGCAATTTTCAAAAGAGAAGAATTTTAAAAAATGTTAGATGAATTACAAAAAAGGGACATGCATGGCAAGAAAATCTACTTGGTGATTCAATTTTCTCAATAAAGATAAATCATTGCTTGATGATGGAAGAATTCCTAGCCGAGCTAGAATTTTACTAGTAGTGGCAGATAACTTTACTGTCTAAAATAGATTGATTCATCTCTTTATCGATACCAATGAACAGAATGATTCGTTACAGCAGATTGAAATATGATCGACTTCTACTTACTCTTTGTCGATTTTTATCCCATTGAGAGATTGTTTTGGCTACGGACACAATCGTTTGGACAGCTTTATTCAGATAAATCTGAACTTCTTCAGTCGGTGGTCGAATGACGACATGTGGAATAGCCAGTTCAGCAAAAACTTTGAACAAAGGTGCTTCGCGATGATGTCGGCCTAATCACAAACGTAAAAAACGATGAACTTCAGTCATTATTCTCATCCAATTACCATAACTTAGTGTGGATGTGATACGTCGTCGAAGTTTTTCCAGAGTCATTTTAATCACACGTACAATCGCCTCGAGATTCCGATGACTGAAATGACTAATTAATTCTGTGATGGCTGCTTGCATCATTTCATTTTGTTGATCGCGTTTACGACGTGTTGATGCGCTCAGAACAGTCGCTGAGCGATTTCGTCCCGCCGATGTTATTCCGGCTGAAGTTAAACGACTTCGATTCAATGTACTGTCTCGTTGCCGAGCACTACGTGATGATTTATGGACACTACGGGCAGTTGTATCGTCTAAACATGGTATCAAATACTTGTATGATAAGAAAAAGAGAAAATTCAAACCATCGAAATCTGTCTCATCATCATCTTCGTCAAGATCAGAAGTTGTATTTCCATGCGGAGTGTGGTCCTCTCCATCCAGAACAACATTTCCACATAGAAGATCGATGACCTCGAGAGCAGCATCTTCGACATTGTGAGATTTGATTTGAATTTGTTTAGCTGCTTGACTGCATAAATTCTACTCACAAAAGACAATATTGAGTTCATTTCTGTCTGTACCTTACTTGTGCATGCTGAAGAAATTCTTCAGGTGTGATCGTTTCATCATCTGGAACATCACAAAGTGACATTGTCGATATTTCATTCAGCACAGAATCAATTCGAAAGGTAATTAGATCATTTGCTCGATCTAACATCAGGTCGAATTCATCCAATGCTGCGTTAACCTATATATGAAATGCAAAAAACCGTAAGAATCACACATTTAGCATTCGTTTTACATACAGTATTGATATAATCATCAATTGTTAACGAAGCCCACGTTAACGACGTTAATCCCGGTTTAACAATATCATTCAATCGTTGGATTTTCGGTGCTAACAATGCTTCAAATGGTTGTTTGATTTTCTCTCGTAAGTGTTTGTTTTTCTCAACCAATTGTGTTAAGTCTTGATAGTGTTTTTTCAAAAACTCTTCACGTTGCGCTAACAGAGCCGCCTCTTTCGGAATTTCCAATCCCAATCGTGCTAAACATTGAGTTTCACGAATTAATTCCAGAATATGCGGATCAAAATTCACTAAATAATCCGGATTGGTTTGCGCTGTAGATGTGACAATAGACGACGAAGGTGCGCTTGTCGTTGCGCCAGCGGACAAATCCTCACGGTTGACGCGTATCAGCAGACTGGAGTGGATACCAGTAGCAACAACGTCAACTTGACGACGCCATCCTTCGTGATAGACAATCTCATATGTTAACAGTACTTTGGATAGTTGATTGTAGTTCTTAATGATCTTTTTCGCACCAGGATATTGAAGAATTGTTTTATTGGCAACGAATACGTCCATGGGTTGTTGGATACGCTTGTATAATTGACGCGCCCAGGTTATTCGACCTAAATTGGGGGAACAATCAACGATAAAGATCAGGAAACATGAATTTTACCTGCTACTGGTGGTAAGTCTCGTGAAATCAATGGATCTTTGGCGTGTTTTTGATAAATTTTGGCCACTGTATCTAAATCCTTAGAGTACTGCTGTAAAATTTTGGCATATTTATCACTGATGCCAATATTTGGTATTTGTAATTTCTCGAAACGTTTCAATGAATCAAGCGCTCGTTCGGTACTTCGAATGGTGTTGAAATACTTATCAAGAAATTCATTTAAACTCGCATGAAGATCGGATATCGACCGATCGAAGTCGGCCAAGTCATCGTCAACATCCTGTTTACGTTGATCCAAGAAATCATAATCTTTTTTCTTCATCGACGTTACAATCATATTAAATTTCGAATGGAACGGTGCAATACCTTCTATTTTCGATTCCGCTAAGTGCGAATAGATATTGATTTTCGCGAACATGTCAATGATCTTTTCGCAACGTCGAACAAACGAATCAAATTTGCCGAAGATATACATTTCACTAAAATCAAATTGCCGTTCGGATGGATCAGCTGCTAATTTCGCTTTGGTTGATTGAAAACAACGTTGATATTCAACATTCAATTTAATACAATCACGTAACTTCGATATGACATGAGCTTGATTTTGCGACCAAATCGTTTGAGTATAATTCTCTGTGACATACATTTTCGATGTTGTTATCATTTGATTGGTGATCTACGAAGGAATTTCAGTGGCTTTCTTTATTTCTAACAGAGAAAATTAAACTTACTTTAACGAATAATGATGTCATTCGCTCCGATGTGTTGTAATATTGTGAGATGGAGTGAATCATTCGTACAGCATTGATTAGGCCGGGAATGCCTTCTAACATTCCAACAGGATCGGAATTATACAGTGGTTCACAGAATTTTTCCAAGGTATACAAGTATCGGACGTTATCTTTCGCTTCATTAGCGGCATCGGTGATTTTGCCATCTAGAATTTTCCATTGCTATGATGAAAGATTGTAAATTAAGAGAATTTATCGTCGTTGAAGGAACTTTACTTGAATAAGTTTCGATCGTGCTGTCTGTAAAATTGTTAGTACAGCTTTGACATCTTGACCTTTGATTTGATAGAGGAGAAAGTTGAATTTTGTCATACGTTTTTTCCAATAGTCAAGTTCAGCACGTGGACCGATATTATCTGCTTCTCGACGAATTTGTTCACTCTCCGCGAGAACCTATGATTGAAACAATTCACAGATACGACCAATTTCACAGTCAGAATTCGTTATTACTTTTTCCATCTGTTTAATCCATGTTTTCATTGTTTCTTCGACTGATGCCAGATGTTCATTATTCGATGCAACAGATATATAATCTCCTGCATGTTGCAATTGTGTTAAATCAATTTTATCACAAGGTTTCAAAAGAATTCGCTCATTTATGCTTTCTTGGGCGCTGTTCAACATTGCAACAAAGTTATTCAATCGACTGAGGAAATCAACTTTAACCAATTGATTGTTATCTGAGCCTGTTAGTTTTCCCCAGGTCGTATCAGATGTTTGCAGATATGGTAAATAAATATCAGCGATCGATCGACTCAACGCCTGAAGCAATGGTTCGGTGTTACATTCGAATGTATAGAAGCAAACTTCCTAGAAATTCAACAAAAGTAACCTCGAAGAGCAATCAGTCGGTAAGCACATACATTAACAATATTTTGTCCGGTAATTTTTGTTTTATTCGAATTTCGCAAGAAGCATAGACAAATTCCGCGTAGACTTTGTTCTTCTAGATTCGCGATCAGTACTTTCGGTTTTGCAGGCTTTAGACCGGCTGTATTGGTACGCGTGGTATACGGCGAGTAACCACGGCGATGTGAATCAGCTAAAATACGTCGTAAACATGTCGATCATGCAAGCAGAGAAGCAAGGATTTACTTTCATTGTGCTGAACTTCAGGTTCTTGGTAGAAAAAGACCAAATATTGGTTCCCATTGACCTCGAAAAACTCGTCTATGAGATTAAACTACAAACAAACCAATTCTAATCTAGGAATTGCAAAGAAATCGAATAGCATACATTTTGACTTTCGACGACATTGTCTTCGACTTCGGATCGATCGATGCCAAGTCGTGTTGCAATAATATCAAATAAATGTCGATGTGTTTCATCAAGAGTTGCTCGTTTTTGATCTCGTTCATCGCGGATACGTTGCTAAAACAGACGAACTTCCTCAAAATGAGCCGAATCATTGACAAAAACTTACTGCAAGTTCCGCCGCCGAAACATTCGGCCTCGTGCGTGTCATCATCTTGACCTAAATGGTGCTCAACTTCGTTGTTGTAACTTTTCTTCTAGAACAACATCAAGACTAAATATTATGCTTACTCCGCACTAATATTTCATGGCAATGAATCAAACAATAACATTGAGAACTTTCTGTTTTATTTTATATGAATGTATATATGCGTTGTTAGGTGCGTTGATGTGTGTACGTTAAAGAACAGACGAAGAAATTGAAGATTTCTCTCTCGTCCAATTTAAATGAGAAATAGAAAGAAAAACACAAATGTATATGTTAATCAGACATGTTACGAGGAAGAAAGAGAAAGAAACTTTGATCACTTTCGTCGAATTTGCAATTAAAGACAAATCATCTTAATCAAAATGTTAAGGAGAAGAAAGACTTGAATGATTTGTATGTACACACTCATCCTCTTGAATAATTCAAGATGTTTATCTTTGTAAAAGAAAACGCACATTTGCTCTCTTTTTCTTAGTTATTGTTTTCTTTGTCTTGTCATTTCAAATACTTGATACTGTCGATGTTCTCTCGAGTAGATGGGATCGAAATGAAGATGAATTGGGTTATTGTTACCATGGTAGTACGCGTTTCTTTAGATTATGAATGCTACTCAATGGTTTCTTCAATTATTATAATTGATCTTAAAAAAATAACAAAGAATGAAACTTTTTTTATTTCAACATTGTAAAAGTAGCTGTTTGGAGTTGGTAATGATTGTAAATTTGTATTTTCTCTTTTCTATTGACATTCGATATTCGATCAGAGGGTGAGCGAGAGAGAGAGAGAGAGAGACGGCGAAGAAAAAACCTATTAACTTATTGGCAAAATGTGATTAATTCTGTCATTGTTATGTAAAATGCTATGACAACGATTAGAAAATGTAGAGTAAATGTGTAATAACACATGATTTTCTCAATAAACGTGATTCTCAATTAGTGAGTCAATCATTCGAAGAGCGAAGCGCGATGAAAAAAAAAGAATTTTCATCAATCGAAAGATGCCGCTAAGTGATTCCATGTTTGCAATCCAGATAAGTTTCGAATGTTTAATTTTGTTACACATAAGCACTGTCGATATATTCTATACGCCCATTTAACATACATCTTTTGAGAACATGTTATTTATTATTGCCTTAGAAAGAAAGTCTGTCTGATTACAGATATCGCTGTGCACAGCCTTCTGCTGCTTATTCCGCTCGGAAATTATACTTAACATCTATAATGACGTTTAATGAAATATGTAACAACATAAAGACATTTCATAAATAGTGTAAGAGACTTTCTCACGATGAAGACTAAGATGTCAAAGTAATTCATTGGAAGGAATCAGATTCCCATCATCCGTTGGATTTTGTACTATGATCGTCGGTAAATTATCGATAATTAGAGATTTCTTCTCATGGAGTTGACTACCATTGAATTGATGATAAGAAAGTTTCGCTGCAGTTGTTGACGTTGTTCGGCCACCAACGCCACCATTAATGCCCATCAATTGTTTGGCAGTATACTCTCGATTGAAATACACGGCATCCGATCGACGATCCTTGTTTGCATAACGACAATCGTCGCATAGGAGAAGTAAACTCTGTCGGAATTTTGTTGACATCACTGAATACAACAAGGGATTGATCTATAGAAAAATACGAAATATATATGATGATGATCGTAATTATTGTTTAGACGCAGGCACAAGTCTAAATACTGTTTACACAGTAATAATCATTTTGCTTGTCGTGAAAATTACATGTCTTCTAGGACAGACTTGTATTTGAGGTCTTGACAAACTTACTGCTGAATTAAGATATAAGAATGAGCGTGTGATGATGGCGATGAAGGAATATTTGTGGAAGCCGATGGCAGCGATCTCTTCGAATTGGTACCGTTGATGTACATAAGCCCAGATTTTGTATGGAATGATAAATATGAAGAATGTTAGGATCAATGTGATGAGCAGTTTCGCTACTTGACGACGGTAACGCGTAACAATTGAATTGTCACGTAAGAGTGCTTCGCGACTGAATAATATACAACAAATCGAGAAATGCCAATAGCAGAGCATTAAGAAAATGAAAATATATAAATATAGTGTACACAAAATCAAGTAAATATTTTTCCATGATTTAGGAAACTCAGTGAAACCTAAAAGATGGAAACGTTTCTTAAAATATCAACGTCTGTATATTTAATTTACATGTTACAATTGTTTCACCATAGATAGATTGAGCAGTTCCTGTTTTCGAATACCAAAAGAAAGGTATGGAAACTAAACATGACAGAATCCAAATGAAAACGACAATAGGCAATGTTCGAAATAATGTAAATCGAAGTGCAGATGTCTAAATCAAAACAGACATACATGTCACATGCGATTCTAAATGCTTTTTCTCCTGTACTTTCAATGGTTGACAAATAGCAACGTATCGCTCATAACTGATCGCCATGATAGTCAACACTGAACATGTCGATGTTACATTTTGTACAAATGGACCAAAACTACCTAAAAGAAAAAAACGAATTCCTCATCCTTCGAAACTGCTCCGAAAACAAAACACATACACATAAATTTTCCCAGGCGATGTTTATCTTCGCCATATAGATGTTGATAACCTTCCGGCGTACAAAATATTAACAGAAATAAATCAGCCATGGATAAATTTGTCAAGAGAAGATTCGTAGCACTACGCATGTTGCGGTACCGCGTTACGATAACAATCACCAGGATATTTCCAGTAACTCCAAATAGTAAAATAATAGTGTAGAAAATACACGCTGTCGTTTGCACACCGGGCAACCATTGCACATAATCAATGGTATGATTACTTTCATTAGAGAACATGTTGGTTTTTAAAGTAGAGAGATTAGTCTAAAATACCATGCCATTAAGAGATCTAGTGTGATAGATGCTGTTCTAAGAAAAGAACAAAACAGAAATTCATTTCGCGACCCTTGTTCATCTTGGTGAAATTGTATGGAATAGGAGAAAGGAAATGGAGAGGCATATAATTAAAAAACGAAATCCGATCTGCTCTTATTTCATAAATACAGGTGCTTTCTAAACCTCGAAGCTAGAGTATCTACTGCAGTCTCTCTCGCAGACTGAGTTCTGAAAAACTGAAGCATCCTCGCGATATTTTCCTTTGTGTATGGTTATGTCGATGATTGACAAGGTTAATAATGCAAAAAGTATTGACCGTCAAAAACATCAATGTGAGGAAAATCCCTAACGAATGACACATATAATTATTCGACTTCGATGAGCATTGCTCGAGAGGAATACTTTTGTCAAAAAGTTGACAAGTACTATTTTTTTTTGTCTCGATAAAACGAACAATACAAAAAAAATCGAAAGATCGGCAGCATCCGACAGGAGTCTTCAATTGAGAAAAAGAAAAGAATACAATGATCTTTTTTGATTTCATCTTCTTGAAAAGTTCGAGCTAGAAGAATGTTCATCGATGACGTGCTGTGAAAGTTTTCTTTTATATCTTGTCAAGGATTTCTTTGACGTAGAAGGAGGAGTAAACACGACTTCTATTCAAATGTAAATTATATGAAAAATTTCGTCTATCTATTCTAATGACGTCAATCAAGGCAATCTTGTGACTCCTGAGAAAATCTCGTTTCTTTCGTCAAAAATTTATTACTGAGAAATTAAAAAAATCTTACTTTATTATACATTAGTTCATCTCTTAGCTCAAAGTTAGCTACTTTTCTTTGTCTCATCATATTTTCTATTCCAGAATCTGAACTCTACTTTGCCTTGAGATAAACTGAGAACGAAAGAAAAACGACACCGAAAGTGCATTGAACTAATCAAATTTTCTAACCTTGTGTGGCTACTACTCAAAGGCAAAGTAACGACGTTATTTTGCTAATTCCGATCCAGACCATGACTATTCTGATCAAACGATTGATTAGAATATAAATGATCGAATCGATAGTCATGTCGATCTATTGTAAGAAAAAGAAAGAAATGTTTAGAAACTTTCACAGACAAGGAACTACGAAAATTGCTCACGGCGATAATATATTCTTGTTTTCTCTTCAATAATTAGTATATAATGTATTTCATCTCCTTTCTCGAAGAGAAAAATTAGTCACATTTCAATAACAAACTAGTTATTTACCATCTGATATATTGACAGGGAAGATTTCACTTTTATACAATCGAGTGCATTGTCTTCGTACCGACTGGTAATGAACAAAGACGAATCTGAATAATAAATGAGACTCCAGGCTATTCCGATGTCTCCGAACGTCCTCCTGGACTAGGAAGAATTTTTAGCACAAAACCTAATTGCCTGGTGAAGTTGCGCTGATGGGAAGCCCTTTTTTTATCGACAGAAACCTTTTTTCTTTCTACTCGAATATAAATTCAACTAATTACGCCTAAATTCATCAACTAAAAGATTTTCTTCTTATCCTGTCTTAAACCTAAACATGATTAGGATACTTCCAGATATAAGTGACGTACATGATTATTTCATGAAACAAATAAATACTTTACTATTTCATATAAACTTTTCAACATTTCGTCGATATTTTATTCATCTTTCACTTTCGTCAGAATCATCATTCATGAAATAATTAATGGGACAAAATTGCCCCTAGGATAAATAGCATCACTTTGCCACAAACGTACTATTCAATCAAACGACACGTATAAATAGAAACAGAAGACTGATAATCAATTCGATCAAAAGTACGACTCCATGATGAAAAACTGAATCCATTGAAATCCATTTGAAGCCCAGTCTGTTATATCGCACAATCCGTCGCATCGAAATTTAATTAGACAACTTCTCATTACACAGATGACATACGACACGTTGCACTGTGAAGAGAAAGAGAGAAAACGATGCCAGCATTCAAAAATACTAAATACAACACACCCGATTCGGCTTCTGACAGAATACGTTGTTCTAGTCAAAAGTCAACGTATGAAAAATGTCGAATTCATCATCCTGTTGACAAACAAACGCTATTTTTCACACGTTCGCTCGTTCA